AGCAACGGCAGCGGAAACCTGAAAGGAGATCTGATCAATGCGACGAAAGCGTGCGATACGGAACTCACCGTGGGTAATTGTGTCGGTGCATGTTTTTTGAGTTCATTAGAAGAACCCTGATAGTTGAAGCAACACCTAATCCTGGAAATGTCCAAGTTGCTTTATCCAATAGAGGAACTTTCCTCAGCGGATAGCTATCGCCAACTAATGGCTAAATCTCGACGGTACACTTGATTGTGTTCGGTGGATAAGGGTCCTTAAAGGAAGAAGGGGAAAACCTGACGGTAGTTCAGCTACCTGAGCGATAAGCTAAGTCGCCACTTGATTTCTGAACCTTAATGGTTCTGATATGTATTCCATGGTTATGTACCATGCCTTGATAATCCTCAATTATACAGGACTGGTTAGAAATTGAACGTATCCTGCTGTTAGTCACCAGCCTAGAGTGAGAGTACTTCTGGTACGTGATTTGATGATCACGTCCAGCTTCAATAGATCTATCAAGAAACTTAGAGAAAAACAAGAGGTAAGAAGAGAAAACTGCCGTTGCGAAACTGTCGGTTAAAGATCCGCTGCAATACTACCTCTGGGTATATTTGGGTCCAAACCCTGTCTAACTGCCTCTTGAAATCGACTGTATTCGCGCAATCCATCAGGTGAGGTGGTAGCCGATTCCATCTATCAACCACTCGGTTTGTGTAGAAGTTGAACCGCACACCGAGGCGAGCCCTTGGTTTTAAGAGCTTTAAGCTGTGCCCCCTGGTGGCCTCTACGGGCGCTCGAGTGAACAACCTTTCGGCGCTTAAGTCGGTGAATTCTTTCATTATCTGAAACGTTTCTATGAGGTCACTCTTGAGGCGTCTTCTTTCCATAGAGAAGAGATCTAAGGCCTCAAGCCTTTCTTTATATGGCTTGCTCTTCATGCCCGAGGCCATTCGGGTGGCTAACCTCTGAACCTACTCGATGCACTGAATGTCTTCCTGCAGGTAGGGTGCCCAAGCCTGGACACAATATTCTAGGTGGCTCTCCCCAGTGCCTTAAACATTGGAATAAAGACTTCTGCCTTTCGATTACTCAATGTATTTCGCAACGGGAATAGCTGACCTGGTGGTTTCTGCCTCCGAGCTTACTCTAACTGGACCGCCGTCGGTGTTTAATATGTGACCATTTGACGGGTTTAGGTCTAGGTCCCACATGTGAATCCAACGAATAACGTTTGTTAGGTCTTCGTGCAATTGGTCTTGTGGGCCTGAGTTAACTAATTTGACATCGTCGGCAAACACGAAGGTCGGGATGGACAAACCTCTAACTAAGTCATCGACGTACAGCAGGAAAAGAATCGGGTCTAAGACGTAGCCCTGTGGCACCCCACTGGTGACCATCTCCTCCGCTGATAGTGTTTCTCCTACTCGANCGGGATGGACAAACCCCTAACTAAGTCATCGACGTACAGAAGGAAAAGTACCGGGCCTAGGACCGAGCCCTGTGGCACCCCACGGGTGACCATCTCCTCCGCTGATAGTGTTTCTCCTACTCGAACCCTGAAGGTACGTCTATTCAGAAGCGCCCCTATTCATTTAATAAGACTCCTAGGAAGGCCGAAGTTCTCGAGGTTCTTGAGTAATAGTCGGTGATTTACCGAGTCGAAGGCATTCCTAAAGCCCAAATAACAAACTTCAAACTTTTGACCTTCGTCTAGCTCCCTTGTGACTTCATCTAGGAAGCACAACAGGTTGCTGAGGCATGACTTGTTTTTGAGGAACCCATGCTGGGTTGAGGATAATAAGCTGTAACGCACAACATGCTCCCCCATGCCGTTTCTAACTATTGTCTCTAGTCCTTTACAGGGAATACTAGTGAGACTAACTGGCCTGTAGTTTCCTGGCGCCTTTCGGTCCCCCCTCTTATGTATCGTCACGACTGTCGCCGTCTTCCAGTCGTTCGGTATCTCACCGAGTCTTAGGGATTTTTCGTACAGTGCATACACAGGGGCCGTCAAAATCTCTGCGAGCGGCTTGACGGCTGCTGAATGTAATCTATCACTCCCCGCTGATTTACTAGGTTTTAACTCACTGAGTATCTTCAGAACTTGAGCTCTGTCTCTCTGTAGATCTTTCATTAGAGGATCTCAAACCTGTGGCATATGTGAGGGTTAATTGCGTCCATCATCTATTTTACAGACGCTTTCAAAAACCATTTGAGTATCTCGCACTTCTCTGTCTCTGACGACAATTCTTCTCCGGCGCTATTTCGTAGGACCCCTACCGCTTTGCTGAGGGTAGCCTTCGACTGTACATACGCGTAGAACCTTTTGGGATTGGATTTAGCTTGCTAGGCGATCCTTAGTTCATGTTTCATTTTTTGCTTGTTTCATAAGATTGTTTGCGTCATTTCGGGCCATTTTGTAGGCCAACCACCGCTGCTTTCCTCCAAAGTTTGTGTAATTCCTCCATTTACGCCCCCGAAAGGTTATCGCTTTCTTTACTAATAATAATAACGGTATATTTCGCGAAGCCCGCGAAGCGTGCTTGTGCGCATGATCAAAATGTACAACAATATGAAACGTGAACAGTGGAGAGCAAAAAGTAATAGTACGNCCGCGAAGCATGCTAGTGCGCATGATCAAAATGTACAACAATATGAAACGCGAACAGTGGAGAGCAAAAAGTAATAGTACGAAGAGTGTAGGAAAGTGATTTTCAAACAAGTACGGAGAATATTGTAAATGGCCCTTGCGTTGAAAACGAAACACAAAGTGGACAGGATCGTAAAGATGGAGTTTTGGCGTACCAAGGCAGAACAAACTGACCGCCCCTAACTGTAACCCCCCTCTCGGTTGCCTTCTAGGTATCTCAGCACCAGTTTGGCATGAACAACCGAAAGAAGACCCGAACTAAACAGACCGAAACCAAGACGAGAATTCATATTGTTGGTAAAATGACAAGCTATTGATTTTATCGATTTTTTTATAGGTTTTTCGAATTGCAACCCCGCGACTGCGTTGAGCTGCTGTGAAACCTGTGCGGAAATAAACCCTGACTTTTAATTGTTCCATCCTGTCGTTCTGCGAGTGTTTCCGACCTGTGTGAGCGTGCCACGGGTGGTGCCGAACCATAGCATATCACAGATTCGGCGACCTTGCTAGGATGCCTCGCAATCCGAAGAGTGATACCAAGCAGGACTCCCCCGAACCTCCTACATCATTTTTCGGCGTCCTCATGCAACGTATTCTCACTCTTCTTTCCTCAGTCATTCACTCCGGAATCGTACGGAAGCAATCTGCTCTTCCCGTCCCCCCACCTGAAAAATTTCACATGGGGGAAGATTTCCACCGCTGGGCTCGGGCGGCCCAGGACTATATCGAATTTGTGCCGCCATCAGATCGCAGAATTGTGCTACTGTCTCTCATCGAGGGCGAAGCCAATGATATTGTGCGCGATGAAGGTGTACTCGACGCACCCATCACCCCGAAAACTTTCCAGAGACATCGAGATTGCCTGACAGATCGCCTCCATGCAGCGGAATTCGTTCATCTGTTCCAAACACGCATCCAACTCCCTGGCGAACGGCTGACCTCGTTTGTTCGTGCACTCCGTCGCCTAGCAGTGGAAGCATTACCGGACGCTGACCCCATCGACCGCGACGCGAAGGTGCTCACGCAGATCCTGGTGCGTACAGGGGACCCACCGTTGAAGCGTCGCTTCCTGCTCAGCCAACCATCTACCGTAGCGGCAGCATTGGACACCGCCCGGCGCCTCGAAAAGATTGAAGCTGTACTCAGTCACGATTAACTACCCGAAGCACCAACAATCGCACCCGTGAGTAGCCGTCGCCCGCAGCGTCCCTTCCGGCCGCGTTACAATCAAAGCCGCCCGTGGTACCCATCACGCCAACCTCCCCCCACATCTCGGATGTCGCCCAGGGATTGCTACTACTGCCAGCGGTTCGGAACCGACGCATGAGCATGTGGCCATAACTGCCCCGGTGAGTCCACCATCGCCCTGTGTGTGTGCCATACCTCTTTGTTGTCTTTGGTTCCCGTCATTGATATTAATGCCTGGGACGCTCCAACTACTGCCCTCGTCGACACTGGAGCAGCGTGTTCCTTGATTCGCAGTGACGTGGTTCCCGCACAAGCACCTCGTCATCAATCCCCGCATTTTCGACTCATTGCGGCGAACGGTACGCCCATGCTAATTCGGGGACAAACCACGGTACCAGTTGCCATTGGGGAACTGAAGACCCATCACCCAATGACCATTGTGGATAAACTTCCGTGGCCTGTTATTCTGGGGATTGACTTTCTCCGTGCCCAGAATGCCCAGCTCCATATTGGCGCAGGTAAAATTACCATAGGCCCCCAAGTATTTCGCATTGGTCATCACCACAACACCATAGGGCTCGTCTCCAACGTCGCCAAGGTTTCTACGTCCGGCCGGCCACCGAATGCTCACCTATCAAATGACATTGATAAACTACTAGCCGAGTTCCCGGATATTTTGGCCCACGGCAGCACCGACATAGGCCGCACTAAGCTTGTCCGCCACCGCATCGACACTGGTAACGCCCCCCCGATCCGTTCCCCGCCAAGGAGGCTCCCTATACATTGCCAGCAGGAGGTCCACAAGCTGATCGAAGAAATGCTGGAGCGTGATATCATCCGACCCTCCACCTCCCCTTGGGCATCCCCTGTGGTGTTGGTGAAGAAGCGCGACGGATCTCTCCGCTTATGTGTCGACTACCGCCGACTCAACGCGCTTACGCGAAAAGATTCTTTTCCACTTCCGCGGATAGATCAGACGTTGGATACGTTAGGCGGCGCCAAATTCTTCAGCACACTGGACCTCGCATCCGGATACTGGCAAGTCGAGGTGCACCCAGCTGATCGCTGTAAAACGGCGTTTGTCCTCCCATCAGGGCTGTACGAATTCCAAACGATGCCCTTCGGCCTGACCAACGCCCCTGCCACATTTCAACGATTGATGCAAACCACGCTCGAAGGACTTATCCCTCATTG